CTCCACCGTCCCCTTCTTCCCCAAATTCTCCCATCAAAACCAACCCCTTTAAACCCCGCCCAAAAGCTGTGCAACCAAATTCTCTTGAATTTCACCGTGTCGTGCCTGGACCCGCTCGCCTCCGCCCACTACGCCGCAATCCTCCTGTCTAACGCACACACGGCCGCTTCCTTTCACAACATACACCGCACTTCACCCCACAACATCTCCCTCGCTCTGCCCACCTCATCACTAAACATTATCTCGTCTTCTCCCACCGTTTCCAAACGTCTCTCTCGCTTTATTATCGAAGCTCCCATTCAACTCCCGCCTCTTCGTTCTCCATCGCCCCCTCCTCATCGCCCGCGCCCTCTGCCACCCCCGAACTGCACCGCCCTTGCGCGCGGCGTTTCGCGTCGCCGTTGGGCGGAAACTCGTAAAGCAGTAAGCGTCCCGTTACAACCGATAAAACGCTTCCGTCCATGAGCGCGCGTTCGACCGCGCGCCTGCCCGATACTTCTCGATGAGGGAGCGCCGAAGAGCGGCAGGAAGGAAGAGTTTTGGGGCGGGGCTCCTCCGATGGAAGGGCGGTGTGGGCAGGAGAAGGGAGGGGAAGGAGTTTCAGCTTAACCAACAGCGAAGTTAGTTCGGTACGCTTTTTGCTGGCAAAATTTTGCGGTAAATTTTAAGTTTTAATAAAAAATAATTTTTAGGCTACCGCTACTAAAAGCAATTGCTTTTAGAGCATGTACGACGTGGTAGAAATTCAATTTTTTGCTGTGGTGCTAAACGTATGACCATGTTCAAGTGTTCCGATAAAACTGTGAATGTAATAAAGAAAACAAAATACTTTCGTCTGTTCAACCACAACTGATCTTAATGTAACATGGTACAAAATTAAATATTTGTGTGCTTGAATTAAAAGAAATGGAAAGTGAGAAAGGCTGCCTAAAAGAGAGGGTATGACATACGTCGCCTGACGGCCTCTTGTCGCAACATTTTTCTACTCGCAAAATAACATGTTACTTTTACCGTATGTAGTATAAATAACTATTTTCTTCTTGACGTGAAATAAATTAGACAAAATATTGATGTAATAATTTGATTACTTAATATACGAGAATTGATTAATCAGCATCATTATTATTCATTACTTCAATTCGCAAACAAAATTCCAATGAGAGTTCCATGTTGTGGTTTTCTTAGGAACCCCTATATTCATGTATATATTACAACTTCCTCGAGAGTATACAAAAGTATATATTTACTTAAGAAACGAACATTCCATATAGCCAAATGTGAGAAAATAAACGTGTGGGGTAAACGTTTAGGAGTGTTACGAAATTCAACCTCACTAGATCAGAGAGAACGGAAATTCCACGCTAAAGATCGCTAACGACATCTGAAATGTTATTTGTATGGCCCTGTTTCTTTTCCTCGCGTTATCTGCCATGCATAGACAGTGACTTCGAGTCTCGTACGAGAGAAAAGGAAAAGCAAGTCTCGGCACAAGTGAAGTGGCGATACGATCCGCAAGGCCCCGCTGGCACCGCCTCCGTCGCGGGGAAAGTCCTGCGACTGCGAGGAGACGCACCGCGACTTCCCGAGTTCGTTACAGGGGCTCTGAATAAAACATCGGAGCGCCCCCCCCCCTACGACCCCGCCCGAGCAGCGACTTGCGACTGCCGTCAAATCGAGAGGAATCGACTCCGAATAGCTCTAGCTGCTGCAGAGGAAATATAAAAATGAAACCTCAAGGTTGCATCAGAGATAGCAGAAGACTTTTAATCTCGTATTTCCTCTTCAAAATTTGTATTAATAGTCTCTGTATCAAATTCATTTTGCAGTTATAGCAATTACAGTAGCACAAATGTTTTATCAGCCTGCATAAACGTGTAACTAGGTATGTTCTCACATTCTCTATATTCTAATACATGAAAATATTTATGGAAAGTAAAATTTGCACAATGTAGAAGATTCTCGTATAAATCAACCCTATAAAATATATTTAATATAATATATTTAACAAATATTTATACTACATTATAATCAGTAAGGAAGTACGAAGTTATCTGTGGAATAAGAAAAAAGTACTGGATTATAAGGCATCTCACAATTAAAATTATTTCTCGAAAATAATAAACGAGTAAATTTTAAATAAATTTTAATGAAAATGTGGTTTGAGAAGATTTGATCTACCAAAAATGAGACAAGGGGAAAATAATAGTTCCCGTAGATGACCTCAGAATAAAATCGCATTCACATGAAACAAAGTGAATATTTTTTTAAAAATATTTTCGCCCATGCGAAGGTACGTCGTAAGAAGAGTAAGTTATGAAATCGTGTGCCGGAAAACGGCGAATTTTTCAATAATGTAATGGGTAATTTGAGATATACTTTCTGGTAAATAACTCATTTCTAAGAACCAGAAAAATACACACATGACACATCTTACTTGCTGTCATTAGCTCTACCCACAGTACATGAATAGCAGAAGTGTTCTTTCTCCCTTTGAATAAGATATGGGGGAACTGGGGAGAAAATGTAGAGTGAATGAAATAGTGTAAAGGGTAAAAAGTTGATGAGAGTAGACTAAAGGGTTAAATGAATGAGAGTGGACTAACGAGTAAAGACTTAAGTGTGGTGAGAGTATAAAGGAGGACTAATTGGTATTGTGAGGGGTGAGATTGAACCAAATAACTGAGAGTGAATGAAAGAACAAAAAGTTCTAGCTCATATTCCTACATACTGATACAAAAATAATGGAATTGAAACTGAACAAAAGGGTGAAAAATTGTATGAGAGTGGACTAAAATGTGGTGTAGGTGGAGCGAACTAAACTATGTGTGTGAGTGAGTGTATAAACTGATGAATGGGGAGCGAGTGAGATAGCACTAACTCCCCCCAGTGATTGATCGTAAGTGAGCAGAAGGCAGGCCAGTGAGAGTGAGAGTGAGAGTGAGAGAGGGGGGGCGCTACCCACCGCTGGGCCTCGTCAGCAGCCTCGGAGGCCTCGTGGAGCTTGGTGGCGGCGGTGGCGGCGCGCTCCTCGGAGCGCTCCAGGTCCTCCTCAACGAGCTGCACCTTCCTGTTGAGGGCAGCCATCTCGCTCTCGGCCTGCGCACACCACACACAAAGGTCACTCCAGGACAGCTAATCAATTACTTGCAGAAACTGGGGTTATTTGCAGCATACGAACTCAAGAAGTCATGCTACAAGTTACATTTGTCTCACTTGAACAACTATTTTTAAAGTTAACGTGAAATAGATTTAATTAATATTTCAAATACAGCCATCGATACTCGTGAGAACAAATGCTTAAGGTTAAGAGGTAGAAGGGGAAAGGAAAGAAATAGTTCATATATGGGAGTCTATGTGAGGCCTCGTAAATTATGTAATACTTGTGAGAGCTAAATGGTGCTATTATGGGGCTGCTAATATCCCTCCTCTTGATCTGTTCATCTCCCTAGGTTTGTAAAAAAACTTTACTTGTTTGGACGTTTGATGTTGATGCTTGTTTTTGTTTTGTTTTGTTTTGTTTTGTTTTGTTTGGGACAGCAAACTTCAAGAGCACCTAGAGTGGCACAATCTACGTATAATGTAATGCGTGCACCAGATGGGACGACGTTCGCGTTTACCGCTTGGAAAGTATCACCAATGCAGAAGAACGCCCCATACGCCGGCTCATACAGCGCACTTGTCAAGTATTCATGGAAATCCTTTGTGTTTTCCACCATAGTACAACATTTCGATTCCGTGCCTTCGAAGGTGAAATAGCATCCGGTCGACGTTCGGCCGCAGTTCTATACGCGGAATTAGGGGTCGTCCATAAATTACGCAACGCTAAAGAGGGGGGAGAGGCGTTGATGCAGCGTTATGCTTCATTACATAGGGTCAGGAGGTATTCGATTAGTGTCATTGATAGTTTATTACATTTTTTAACATTTGTTCAAATATTTCCTTTTTCGCGTCTTATAATAAAACACTAAAATATTATCTAATATATATTTTAAAACATACTTCACTTAAAGTCATTAGACATTTTTTACAATAAATATAATTTTTTCATCAATTTCGTTTTGAATCAGTAATATTACGAAGAAAATATTGAAAACTGATCAGTAGTATTTTGTGGTACAAATAAATCGGCGCAGTAGACTCTCACCCTTTCATCACCGACGACTGCGTGTGATCAGAAATGTTCTCGCCTGTGTGTCCTTATTTCACTCAAAATTTGCCCTCAATCTTATTGTTACGTGCACTCAGCATTGACAACTAATTTCGAATTTTGTTATCGTAAATTTTAATACACAACACAAATAAAATGAATATCATTTTTTATTGAGCTATGAATTATTTTAACTTCTTGCATCTAGAATGGGGGGTTGTCACCGGCATTACGTAATTATTTAGGGGGGTTCAATCGCGCATTATGGGTGCGTTACAGAGGGAGAGGGGTATTCAAAAAACTCCAAATCTACAAAATACATAATTTATGGACGGCCCCTTAGTTACTTCATTTATACGCCACAAAAATTTCTCGACAATTTTACATCTCGTGTTATCTCGGTAATAAATAAAATTGAAACTTTCGTTAGAGGGAAATATAAACGCGCATTTTCTGCTGTTTTAATCGCACGTTTACATTAACATGACACTTAACCAATCTATAATAATATTTCCTTTGTTTTTATAGCAGCACTTATTCAACTAAATCATTATTTTTTAGTATTCAGTGAATTGAAAAAAATATGAACATTGAAATATGTTATTTCAATGCGAAACGTAAAGTTATGGTTTGTTCTAGCCCGGACAATGTGGAGTGAATGTGTAACGCATGCAAATGTAAAAAAAATTAGAACAGGAGAGTGGGGAATGGAGAGTGGAGAATGGAGAATGGAAAGTGGAGAATGGAGAGTGGAGAATTGAGAATGGAGAGTGGAGAATGGAGAGTGGAGAGTGGAGAATGGAGAGTGGAGAATGGAGAGTGGGGAATGGAGAGTGGAGAGTGGAGAATGGAGAGTGGAGAGTGGAGAATGGAGAGTGGAGAGTAGAGAGTGAAGAGCGGAGAGTGGGGAGCAGAAGACCAGGAGGGTGAAAGGGCTAGGCGGGTACTCACAGCCTGGAGGGCCTTTTCCTTGTCTTCCAGGTCCTTGTTGGCCTGCTCCAGGTTGGCCTTGGTGGTGATCAGGTCGTTCTCAACCTGGGCGAGCTTCTTGGTCAGCTCCTGGACATCCTCATTGATCTGAAAGAAGACGACGCATTATGCAGATGCAGGATATTACTTGTGGGTAGTCGTGCTTTGGGAAAAGTATCGGGCGGACATTATAACTTCTTCGACATAAGTGATGTCTAAACATCAGCATCACAGCCTCCGACACGGCGTAACGCAGACAAGCAAGAGCACTCCCATACATTTAGCTAATTTTAATATACTACTACAAATATTAAAATTGCAAATATTCGCGAGAAGGAAGTAGAAAAATTAGAAAAAAAATATTTATTCTAAAACACGTATCAAAATTATCCATTTTGCTACTTTATCAAAATTTCCGAAAAAATGTTAGTATATTTATTAACTACAAATGGTTATAATAGACCTACTGGTTTCCTCAGACATCCGGAACGGTGACAGGAATGCCATTACCCACCCCAGCAAGAGATTTAGGAATATGTTTCGAACACCGCGGAAATGGGTAATACTGGAGATAGGAAAATCACAGAAGCCTATCAACAGGCATTGACGGATTTCCCACGGATAATGAATATATTTGCTGAACTTTTAAATATTTATTGTGTTTTTAAATTCAACCAGACGTACTGTGAACGGTTCATTTCTTTGCATTTTATATGTAATTAATTGTTCAATGACTCATCGGCTTTAAATTTAAAATTGCATTTGGGAATAATCTATACTCTAGTGGGTTAACAAATATTTAGTAATGAGAGTGATTATAATAATGATTTAAGGCGAAGAGTACATATATTAAGGCCTACTGTATTTTTACGTATGAGACAAATAATTGACATTTTGTTTTCATTAGATAAAAAAATAAAAATTAATTATTTCATTCCAATATTTTCACGACATATAAAAAAAATGTTTGAGTACACGAATTGTTTTCATAAAAGAAAATTGCGGTCGTGACCAAACAGACCATTGAAAAGAGATTCAACAATTATTAAATAATTTTATGGGTACTCTTCTGAAAAAAGAATAGGCAAGTTTAGAATTTTTTACAAATATTATATTGTTTTCTGTATTAAAAACCGTTGACCAGGAACAAAACAAAGCATTCTTAATCTCGTGATAAGAGAACCTCAGAAAGCGCACTTGTGAAATGGTTCACTTCTCAGCTCACGTGGCGCCGCCGCCTTTACCTTGTCCGCCTTGTTGTTTGCGTCCTTGGCCTGCCCTTCGCAGGTGTCTGCCTTGTCCATGGCATTGTCCTTCTCCAGCTTCATCGCCTGCATCTTCTTCTTGATCGCGTCCATGGCGGCGGTGTTGTTTTTTGGCTGGTCCGGTCACGAAAAAAACAGGAGGCTGAAACATTAAACATTTCTGTAACTTATGTTTTAGGGGACACATCATAAACACATAAAGCGATGAGAAACCAACATAACTCTACTCGTCTCATTTACAAACCAACGAAATTAACTGACGTTGAGTTTGAATTACATCATATTTAATTACATTTTATTATCAATGACTTACAATATTTGTTTGTAAAATGATTTCAAAATAATATTTTAAACAAAAGTTGCAGATCATAGTTTTATAATTCACACAGCTCCAGTTACTCTCCAGCTAAAGTTTATATTTTATCAGCCTTCTTATTGTATGTTTCAATTGTCCATCGGGGGATTTACGGAATTGAATTGAACTGATGCCTTATTTTACGTGACAAGACTCGGGCCATCAGGCCTGCTCTTCCGTCTGACCACGCAAATTTCGCTACGCTCCTTTCACCAACTAGCGGAGAAAGGAGGTATTCCTTGGGCGAGAAACAGGCAGATGTGTAGTTTTAACTTTTACAGACGTGCAAGAAAAGAACAAATGAATGTTTTATATTAGTTGTTTATAATCTGAAATAAACTAAACTAAACTAGTGTGCCTAAACAGCACATACATTCTCCCTCGTAATTTCACGGAAAATTACCCGAAAAATACTCAAATTTCCGAAAAATATTCTCTGACCTTATTTCAACATCTAACTTTAAGGAATTGATTTTATTAAGTGGAAAATCTCTATTTTCATTATTGTAGTTGTAGAAAGTTGCCGAAACTGATATCTCCACCAATCTCGTAAACATCGTTAACACTATCCAACAACAAAAGTTAATCAAAAAAGTTAGAGCCTTTTTTTTACTTTTAAAATGTTCCAGAGGCTTCATGCAAAGTACCTCCCAAAATTAAAATAAAGGTTTCAAATTCAAGGAATCGCGATATCAGTCAGATTGATTGTGTAATATCAATTTTGAAGACAATCGACTGAACTGTTTAGCCGCTAGCATTGTTCACAGGCGGTCAGAGATGGAGAGGGACAGAAGAGATTGACAGACCGACCGACAGACGGAGTGCCGGACAGACAGAGGTTTTGCCGTCATTCAATTTTTTGGTATCAAGGACCCATAAAACGTGCACTGGCTACACCACGTGTTTTTTTCTTCTAAACTTAGCAACTGGATTTATCCTCTTTTCCGTTAACACGACCCTGCAATGAAAGTTTTTCCGCCAAAAATTCGCCGTTTTTTCGCGCAGCATCACATAACTTTCTCCCTATTCTGTAGCGACAAAGTAAAAATTAGATGTCACGAGAATGTGTTTCAAACAGCAATATATTTATTAAGATGTAACTTCCTGATTTAAGTTTATTATCAAGAAAAAAATCTGGCGCAATTTTATGATATTAAATTTCTCTCATTTCATAAAACAAAATATTAATGTTGTTATTATTATTGGTAATAATAATAATACTTTATTTTCTTCAAACAACAGTAAAAAATTTATGTTGTGCATGAGGGAGAAGTGTAATCGACGCACGTTTTCTTGAGCTTCAGAATCTTCTTCTCGTCATTTTACTGAAGAAAGTTGTGTGATGAATAACAGTACCAACAAAGCAATATACGAAAATCAGCTCGCTAGTAATAGGAAATTTATTTATATAGGTAGTAGAACTTCAGATTTGATTTTTTAGTACTGCCAACAAAATAGCAAACAAAACCCCCAACTCTAGTCCTGCCACAACCAGCAAAGGGAGAGCTCAACAAAACGCGGGTATTGTGCTGCTATAATTGTGTTCAGAGGTAAAACAAGGGGCCACTAAAACATTTGCTAAATAGATCCAGGAACTGGTCGAAATATCTAGTCTAGATGGGGTCATTGATGTAATAATAATAATAATAACAATAATAATAATAATAATAATAATAATAATAATAATAATAATAAATTGTATGATCTGTAAAATTATTTGTTTTAGTTTGTAAGAGAACGTTTATTTACTGTTTTATTGTTATATTTAATGAAGTGTTTTTTAAATATGCCTAAGTTATTATGTTAATCTAAGTGATACCTAAGTGAAGCATATTTAAGTGAAAATTGCATTTTGATAACAGATCATTGCATACTTTCTTAAGCAGTTTTGCAACAGTAAAATAACACTTCTAGTTAGAAAAGTTTCAAATACTAAATAATTATTGTTTATAACGTCCACAAAAATCCAGTATGTTCCAACTATCCAAACTTGAACTAATCTGAGGTTTAAGTATTTTTTATTAAAATTGTATGCACTTTATTTAAAAGTGCCTTTATTATTCGATAAATTCATATAGTTTCAACTTTTTGGCGTTTCAATAAGGATAGGATTTCATGGGTGAGGAGAACCTTCCAAAAATACTCCCCGGCAATAATCCAAGCGACAACGTTTCAAGAAATCTAGAGGAAATAAACGTCTCTAAATCTTTAAATCTTGAGACCGACACGAGAGAATGTGTCATTCCGCTCCGGATTACGATCACAAATAGGAGGCGTGGGAGGGGGCAGAGAGGGGGGGAAGGGCGTGGCGTCAAGTCGCTCGCCGCTATTTCAGGAAGCTGTGAAACAGTACGCGGCGGCGGAGGTGGTGGCAGCGGCGACGGCGATGGTGGAGGCGGCGGTGGCAGTGGCGGTGGCGGAGACGGAGGCGGGGAGGGGGCGGA